TTAATCACAATGACCCTGAACATAAAAAATTAGTTTTTAGAGCTGTTTTGATGACAGTTATCCAGGAGTGTTGATCAACAGCGGTTAGCTTCAGTGATGCTAAATTAGCTTCTCTAGCTAGTACAAAATACATGGGATGTGAGTTCTAAATTCAACCGGAGAGGCTATTACTAACTAGTATTAGTGCTAGTACTAGTATTGGTAAACTCCCCCTGGTGGCCAACAGCAGCAGACAAAAAAAACACAGGCTTCTGTCCGACAATTAAATTTGTATTTAAGGGATTTTTCATCGGTCGTTCTAACTTTAGCCTAAACCAATCACGGCTAAAAAAAAACAACTTTTAAACTCAAACTTTAAGTCATTCTTGTTTTTTTTAGTTGCTTTAATTACGGGGGCAACGTAATATTTTCTCTTTGATCCTCACAACTTTGGAATTTTAATCCAGCGGCGGGCTGGATTTAGCCTGCGAGCCACCAGTTGATGATCACTGCACTAGAGGACTGGAGTTAAAACAGACAGGGAGGTCTGCCTGGTATACACGTGGGCTGCACTGCTGCCACAGAACAAAGGTCAAACGTTGACCTTTCTACCTGGGGTCTCCCTGTGTTGTGTACTGTGTGTGGGGGGGTCTCTGGGTGACTACACTTGATCCCTCCCTACACTTAGACATTTGTCTCTCGAGTCCCTGTGTTGGTGATTGGCTGGGACACCTGTCCCGGGAACAGCTTTATTGGAGCAGAGATTGAACCGACTTACGATCGGAGACGCGACGTTTGGCGCGGTGTCGTCATCGCTTCCATGTTTTGTTTGTCTTTAATCGCCCGTAAACACTCAACACATCCGCTCCGTGATGAGGTTTTTATAGACCACAGAGCTAGACACAGATCTAACCTGTCTCCAGGTGGTTTCGAATCTCTTTGTGGTCTCCGTGGTGTCACATATCAAATGGCCCACTGCCACCCCCTCCTCACCTGAGGCCTCGGGGCTTCCAGGAAGGAAGCCAAGGCGGCGCTGTGTCCGCCAACTGATGCGGTCAATCTTCAAACACGCCTTGAAAACTTCTAAGCGACAGACGGCTGAAAGAAGGTGGATCACACAGAGGGAGAGGGCTATAAAAACAAACGCACCTAAAGGAGGCAGCCAGAGGGGAAGACGCAGACACTGGATCAGCTGAATACCGAACATCGTTACACTTTTTCTTCATTTATACATTTTTTGATTTTTTTCGCAAAAGTGCCTTTTTTTTATACGATCCCTAAACAGTTGAAAATAAAACTGTTTTGTTTTAAGTGATAAAAACTTTTTCTTTACCTGGAACCGGTCCCTTCAACGAGAAGACGACACGTCCTGGACCGACACACCGACCGACTGATCCAGGAATTCATCCATCCATCGATCGATCGAC